TGTTAACAGCTTTGGGTCTGTGTTAAAGCCAGTCTTAATAGCGGACATCACCCTGCCTTGCAGGAGTTACTTTGGTAATAAATTATGGAACTAACTGCATTATATGAAGAGACAATATGTTTTCTGAGGCTGCCTGGTCTTGCTTTTTCCCTTTTATCTCTGCAAAGATGGGAAACCAGTGGTGAGAGGGAGCAAATACCATGATATCACAGCAAATGGTGATAACATTTTAGAAAAAGGAAATTGACTTGTGTCCAGGTTGTGGTCTGAGACCAGGTAGTTGTCTTTTAACCTCACTACTTACTGTCTGTAAAGTAGCTGTTTCAGTAACAAATGTCAGGTCAAAGGAGTGGATGAGTATTTGATGCTCACACCCCACCATTACCTGGCTGTCAGTTTATGACTTAGCCTAAGACCTTTGTCTCCAATTACTTTAGTGTTTTGTTTCTAGGGAGTGACAGTCCAATGCCTCTGGGCATGAGGGCAGCAACATGACATGAGGGCAGCAACAGTGGTATTCAGAGGGACACTGTCTCTGAATATGAAAGTTCAGTTTAGCTGTCATGAGAGACAGAAGATAAAACAGTGCCATCCTGAGTAGAGCACTACCCTTCTATGTTCATCCTAGGCAACCAATGGAATCAAGGGGTTGGAGAACCTGTCCTACGAGTAAATACTGAAGAGTCTGGGTCTTTGTAGTTTAGGGGGAAAAACACAGCTACAGGGGAACATGATAGAGATTTATAAAATTATGGGTGGGGTGGGGAAATTGAAGTGGATTATGCATATTGATGAAGGATATGTTCATCAATGGCTATTAGCCACGGTGAGTTAGGGGAACCTGCATATTGATAGGCAGTGAACCTCTGAAATACAGTGCTAGGAGGCAACATCAGGGGAAGACCGTAGCCTCTGCCTGCTTTTTTGGCACTCAACGGCAACTGGTTGACAACTGTGAGAACCAGGACGCCTAACTAGATGGACCACTGGCCTGATCCAGCAGGGCTTTTCTTATGTTCTCAGGCTAAGTAGAATTGCACTCTTCTAAGCTCATGGACTTCAAAGGTATAACTCTACTTAGGATGGAGCTGACAGTGGGGCAGATTGGAAGAACTTTGGGTAAGTGGAGCTTAGGGAAGCTGTGAAGATTTAATGGGGGTGACTTGCAGCATCTCCAAATTTTGGAGGCAGCAGCTGCCATTGTTTATGACAGAAATCAGATCTCATAGTTCCATGCTCAGCACATCTCAATGAACCATACTAACCATACTAACCCCTAACAGAGAGGAGCTATGGCTCAATGGCAGAGCATTTGCTTTGCATTCAGAAGGTCCTGTGATTAATCCCCTGCATCTCCAACTAAAATGATCAGGTAGGAAGTTATGTGAAAGTCCTCTACCCAGAGACTCTGGGGAGCAGCTGCCATTCTGAGGCCCCTGCCACACGGCAGAAAAAAACACGGCCAAAGTGTGGCTATTCAGAGTCGCACCAAAAGAGACACACAGCGGTGGGATCACACAGATCCCCTGAGCCGCCGCGCCGTTGCTCCCCAGCACGATCAGATGCCGGGGAGGAAGCCACTGACAGGAGACCGAGGCAGCCGGCTGCGCATGTGTGCGCATGCGCAGTTCGGCCAGGAGCCTCGGATGCGCCGGCAGAAGGACGTGCCAGCGATCCCAAGGCCTCTGTAGGTGGTTTGCTTTCACTGCAGATTTTCGGCCTGAAGGGCCGGATCAGGGACGGGTGCGCGCCGCCTCCCAGATGTTGCGGTGGGATCGTGCCCGTTTGCTGCGCCCCCAATCTGTCCCTCTTCTGGCCCTAAACCTCCTGTGTGACCGGGGCCTGAGTTAACAATACTAACCTTGAAAGACCAATGGTCTGCCTCAGTATAAGGCAACTTTGTGTTATATTTTAATCATTTCTGAGCAAGAAACAAATTCATGGCACCCCTTTAGTCTTCTTGACAATATTGTGTTAGCCTTGGCTTAAGCCTGAGTTCGGTTTCACTATACACCCAACAACTCATTATAGTTTTGTAGTCCAGTGCTTGCTGATCTCTCTGAGTACCACTGAAGGACCTTTAAAATAAAGCCCTGAATCAGCTTGTAGTGTGTCCTTTGTTTCTTCACTTGGAGTTAAGTGGCAAGTCAATTAGCATTGCTTACTTGACTCCAAAGAATCTAGGTCAGTAGGCATCAGAGAAGACTAAGGCCCATCAGACAGCCTTTATAATCTGTTTTGGTAGCCAGTTGCTAACAGATTTTTTGTGTCATTTCAGACACAACTGTTTTAGCAAGTGGCTGCTAACAGATTTTATTTACCTTTTCATACAAAGCAGCTTGCGTCCGTTTGGCAAAGCGTGGTTGAGCTGTTCTTGAGGTAAACTGCTTTCTTCTGCTTTCACCTTTTCTTTGCGCTTCTGAATCTCTGTAGTGTGCTGTTTAAAAAGTCTGCGGTGCTTCCAATAGCTCCACACTTCCCCCCCTGCCCTTTTTCACCACACACTCTTCATTGAAATTTTTTGAATGCTCTAAGTTGAGCGCTATAGTGCTAGACCAATATAGCACTTCAGTGCTACAGCAGCACAATTGAGATACATTGAGAAGTGCTATATTGATCTAGCACTGTAGTACTCATCTTAAAATATTCAAAAAGGTTTGAGGAAGATTGTGCGGCAAACAAGGGCTGCGGGGAAAGTGTGGGGCTGTTTGAAATGGCCAGATCCCTTCAGAGATGGCTCATTAACGGAATGAAATTTGCTGTATGAAACCTCTCTCCCTGTATCACTTTACTCAGAACCAGCCCAACAACAGATAACATCCAGTTTAGAACAGTAATGTAAAAGGGGCCTAAGATGGCTGTGTCTTTTACACAGCAGTAATACACAGTTCTGAAACTTTAATGAGGAAGGGCTAGAAACAGATGGACCAGTTTCCTTTTCCATTTTACTGTATTTCTGTATTAGTCAACTACATCACTGCAGGTTTTATTATTACTCGTGATTATGCTCAACGGTGCCTCATGGGGCAGAAGCACCAGTTACACAGTGTTCCTCTTTTTGCCCATGTTCATCATCAGCTGCGGTGAACCCTTTTATTTATTCTTCTTTGCATACAGCTAAAGAGTGCCGTCCCTTTAATATGGGTCTGGAGTCCCTTCCCTAGACTTGGAGCCTGTCTACTGGCCCCACCTCACCCAGGAAGCAGCTCTGCCCGGTCTTGATCTCTGCTGCCTTGTCCTCTAGGCCTGTAGTCCCAGGGCCTATCCTTTCCTTAAGAGCTGTCTCTACTCCTCCCTTGAGCAAGCTGCCTGCAAGTAAGTCCTCCCTTGGCAACATCCCCCTCTCTCAGCTGGGCTTGCCTTTTTATCAGGTTCCAGCCTGGGGAAGAGGAAGGTGTCCCACTTGCTGCAGCTCTGCCCTACCCTCCCTCTGGCTGATTCAAAACTCAGCCAGACAGTACAGGGTTTCTGTGTTGCTCTCCTTCTTCATGTTATTAGCAGCTTCGTTTATAGTCTGCCTTTCTCACTGGGACTCAAGGTGGATTGCAAGTATGATAACAGCTGTTCTGTCAATCAGCAAGTGAATTGCATCTAATAGTAGTTTCCTATTAATGCAGAGTCATACAGTGGGGTATGAGAAAGGCTATTCAGTTAAGCAATGAGCCAAGTATAAAATATGGTAAAATAATTCATTCTGACATTAACATATGCCCCTGACATGACTCTAGGGTAGAATCGCCAACCTCCAGGTGGGTGCTGGAGATCTCCTAGAATTACAACTGATTGCCAGACTATATCAATCACTTACTCATTTATTATCTATTATTTAAAACATTTATTCTACTTCTGGAGAAAATGGCTGCCTTGGAAGGTAGACTGCATGGCATTAAGGTCCCTCCTCTCCCTAAACCCATTCTCCCAGATTCCACCCTCAAATCTCTAGGTATTTCCAAACCCGGAGTTGGCAACTATTCTCTAGGGCCATTATGTGTTCCTTAAATATGCTGACCCCATCCCCCACCAACTACCCCATGCCTAGGGTTGCCAGCACCACCAGTGGAGGCATGGGTTGCCTGCTGCCAATCAACTGCCCAGTGGAGGGGCTTACCAGGAGAAGGAGGAAGTGACATCAAAATGCCGGCAACTTCGAGGTGACACTCTAGCATCTGGGCAAAAACTCTGTGGTAGAAACCATTTTTACCATTGAGTTTTTTCCCCACATACTAGAGCATTGCCACGGTGTTGCAGAATGATGATGTAACTTCTAGTGTGACATCATCTGGGCCTTCCTCTTTATCCTGGTAAGTCTCTCCCCCCCATCCCCTGCCAGTTGCAAGGAGGGGCCTGGCAACCCTACCCAGTCACTCTTTATGATGCAACTCCAGGTTGGGAAATTTCTGGAGATTTTGGAGATGCAGCCTGGGGAGGATGGGGTTCAGGACGGAGCTCAGTAAGGTATAATATCAGAGTCTACCCTCCAAAGTAGCCATTTTCTCCAGAGGAAGTGATTTCTGTGGACTAAAGATCAACTTGAATTCCAGGAGATCTCCAGTCCCTAGACGGTTTACAAGCAGCTGCCTTTTAAAATAATGTGTAAGTGTACATAGAGGAGTATATACATTATATAGCTAAGAAACATGATAGCAGCTGCCGGAGAAGCACTGATAATAGTAAAGCACAACAGCAGTATGAAGGGAGAAGAAGCAGGCTTGGAAGATTCTGATCTGGGCAAGGGAAAAGCTACACCAGGGGACAATCCCAGCCCCGTAAGAAAAGTGGAGTGACTATGTTTAAATTAATCTGTCTAATATCAAACAGTTGCACAGGGCAGCTGGAGAAAAATTAAGAGAATCGTGGTGACTTAAGGTTGCACGAACCAAAATAGATGAGCCATGTGATTGCTCACCCGTAATTTTTCTAAAAGGATAATTATAGAGATGGAGGAGAAGCCAAGGCCTGCAGCTTTCAGGCTAATGAAATGCATGGCTGTCTGTGCCTAGGTTCGATACTGCAACTCCCTGGACGAGGAAGAGAAAAGGGAACTCAAGCTCTTCAGTAATCAGAGGAAGAGGGAGAACTTGGGGCGAGGCAATGTCCGACCATTCCCAGTCACCATGACGGGAGCCATCTGTGAGCAGGTAAGCCTGTCGTTCCAGTCCATGGGTTGCAGAGTATGCTTCTGTAGTGAGGAGATTATCTCCAGGGCCCACAAAGCCTTGGAAAACTCTGTTTCTCGATGCGTAAATTTGGGGCTGTATCCAGTCAGCTTTTTCACTCAGTCTCATCCAGTTCCCTTTCTGCTACAGCTGGCTTCTCACATGGCTTTTGTGTGTGCAGTCATCCCCTTTATAGCCCTTTTGGTGGCCAAAGGGGACCCCTTAACCCTTTTTTTATGAGTAGCAAACGTGGTTGGAATCTACCCTTTGGTCTTTTGTTGCAATATTGGTTTTGGGTTACGCAAGATCATAACAACAGTTGATGGGAAGGCAACCTTAGGTTTGTTCTTTTGTTTGACCTTGAAAGGAATGTTTATTGCGATTCCTTAATTAATTACCTTTTCCCTAGGGATAGAGAATTTATTGTGTGGGTAGCTAGGGAGTGTGTGTGTATATATGTTAGTCCAGGATTGCTGATACTCTGCCAGGAAAACAATTTCCCTTGCTTAATCCCCAAGGAAAATTATATCTAAGTGGAGCATTGCTGGACCACAAAAGCCATGAGCAAAGCAACTGGCTTATAGCCAGAATCAAGGGGTCATTTATCAATATGTCTGTACCAGTCTCAGAAAGAATTTGGCAATTATTTTACAGAAGCAAGCAAACTGGAGCAAAAGTTAGTGAAGACCAAATACATGCATAGGAGCTACTATATGGTGAAATATGTTTAGTATATGCTGGCTGAAAAAGATGTGTAGACAAATGTAGAAATAAATTTGATTTTCTGTAATTTTGAAACATGATTAAGATAGTTGGAATTTCAAATTTGATTTCCGTTTTTGTATTTACTTGGGAAAGTGTGTATGTCAGTATATTTTAAAAGCTGTGTTCCTAGATCAGCCATGAAATGTGATTTCACCACATACATTTCCCAGTTTTTCAGTCTGGACAATTCACTGAATTTATGAAAAATGTAATTCTAGGTTTACAGTTTACAAACCATTGACATCACCAGTTACCACCAATGTGACACGAATATCATACACATACCACAGAGTTTCTCTGGAGATAGTGTTCTGTTATTGGCCTACAATTAATAAATACAAAAGTATCTGATTTACAAGTTTAAAACTGGGAAATCTCTTTGGGATGTCTCTTTCCAAAATGTTAAATTAATGTAACAATCTGAATAATGAATAAGAGTCCAATGGAGATTTTGTTTATTACTGCATGCTGAAGCTTTCGAAGCACATTAGCATGGCAGTCTTCACCTCTTGATCCAGTGGGAAAATGTAGGGCATGGAAGAAGAAAAGCCCCACTTGCTGGGTCATTTGTTTCAAAGGAACCCAAAGTTCTTGTTTTTTTTCTTCCTCCCCAGTGTTAGAAATCAGAATATGCAGAAAGGGAAACAAGACGGAAACAAATGCCTTGGTCCCCCCCCCCTTTATCTGCTCAGGGTCCTCCAACATGTAGGCAAGTTTTGGTGTCCGCCATCAGCAGGCATGAAATTGTAACTGGGAGTTGTGAGTTCACGAAAGCATGCTGAGCACATCCCCTTCTTTGCCCTTGGATCACAGAGATTCCTGTGGTACTCCAGCTTGAGAAAGTCTGGAGCGTCTGAATGATGAATAAGCAGGAGAGAAAACAGATGGGCTTTATCATTGTGCCAAATTTAATTTCCTTCCAAATGATGCCATGAGAACAGCCACTGTTCAGCAGTTCTCACCTTGAAGTATCATCAGAGCAGGTGCCCCTTCTTTAATTTTCGCTCTATATCTTTGCAGTGTGGAGGCCAAATCAATGGAGGAGACATAGCTGTCTTTGCATCCCGGGCAGGCCATGGTGTTTGCTGGCACCCACCGTGCTTTATCTGCAGCATTTGCAATGAGCTGTTGGTAGATCTTATCTACTTCTATCAAGATGGAAAGATTTATTGTGGCCGGCACCACGCGGAATGCCTCAAGCCTCGGTGCGCAGCGTGTGATGAAGTAAGGCCAACCAGACATGTTTGGTGTGGGGGGAGGAGGGAGCTGGCATGTATCAGCATTCTTTCTGGCATTACTGCTTTGTAGGATGAACTGCAGGCTTCCAAACTCAGCTTTGCCAAGCTTATCTTTGCATCTGCTTCTAGTAAGCAAAGGGAAGATGAGAACTTTCTCAAGGCTGGTTCACACATCATTTATTTATTTATTTATGTAGTACATTTAAAACCTGCTGTTCCTCCAAGTAGCTCAGGGCAGGACCACCATGTAAGATACCATAGGTTGAGAGAGAGAGTGATTGGCACAAAGTCCCCCAGTCATCTTCATGGTGAGTAGGGATTTGAGCCCTGGTCTCCTGAGTTCTAGTCCAGCATTCTAACCACCATGCTTATAAGTGCCTGTACTGGCTTCTGGTCATGATAGACAAGACAGGCATACATGACTAGGGATGGGCACAAACCAGGTCACGAGCCAGTATTCGGCACGAACGTGGCCCAGTTCAGAGCCCCCGAACCAATGTTCAGGGAAGGTGCCTTCCACCAACATTTAGCAGACTTTTGCCTGGTTTGGCTGTTTAGGCCATTTAAACCTAACAGCTGAGTGGCATAGGTCTGCAGCTCACCTGTTAGGTTTAAGTGGCTGTGAGCCATTTCACCATTTGGTTTCACTTCCCCCTATTTTCAAGGACTGTCCTGAACCCCAAACCAGAATGTTTAGGTTTGTGCCCATCCCTATTTGTGACTAAAGAGCCCCCTTCCAGACAATGTTCCTGGTAAACTGAGGGCTAAATTAGACACTATATATCTGTTTAACAGTTGGGTTCCCCGTACCCAACTCTGTGTTCCTGCAGCCACACAGCTGCTGTGGGGAACGTTAGTTGAAAAAAATGAAAGAATATCACTCAGAACATCACTGCAGGGGGAGAATGGGCTCCTGTCCCCCCCCCCCATTTTTCTGTGCTGAAATGGCACTGGGGGGGAGCTACTTCCCTGTTTTTGCTGCTCCAGGTGCACAGAATATTCCAAGTAGAGCAGCAAAACCAAGGAAATAACCTTCCACAGCACTGTTTCAGCACAGGAAAATGGAGGGCAGAATCCCCTCCTCTCCCCATGATGGCATTCTGAGCCCAATCAGGCTCTCCATTATTTGTAAACTGATGTTCCCCACAGGAGTTGTGTGGCTGCAGGGACACAGAGTCTTTTTAAAAAGCATATCAAATTTGGCCCTAAGAATCAGCCTCAACTTTTTCCTGCCAGAGAGAAGAGAATTAATTTTTTTCTCCCTGATAATGGACCTTATGTGTAACAAGGGGAAAATGGAACCAGGAAAAAACATGCAATATGTTTGGGGGCCATTTCTCAAGAGTAAAGAGAAGTATACAAGAAATGGTTCCTGATGGATTATTTCCTAGTTTATTACTAGAGAATCTTATCATTACTGTGCATCCTGATTGTCTGCCAGCTACTTAATAGGATGTTAGTTCCAGCCAATTGAGATAATAGAATCTTGCAAAAGTATCTTGCCTCTAGATGCATGCATCTTCAAACACATCAGTATGAGCACTATTAGAACCATCACTTGTGTTTCTGTAACCGCAGATACTGTTAATACTAAAACATCGTCCATGGCAGCTTTAGCACCCTAACCTGAGAATACACAGTACAGACAAGCAACATAAAACAGTTTCTCGATGAATGTGTGATATTTGTATATGATAATATAGTCAGAGATAAATGTTCGGCCAGCCTAAGGAACTGAAACAGTTGTTGCGAGTCTATGGGTAAATCATTCGTTATTTTGTCGTGTGGCTGCCTGTACTCCTCATTTATTTTATTTATTTGTTTGGTTATTTGTTTATTAGATTTCTATCCCGCCCTTTCCTGAAGGCTCAGGGTGGATTACAACAATACAACAACAACTGCATATAAAAATACATAATATGTAAGCTAGTAAAATCAGATACTGGCCATTTATAAATAATCAATAAAATATAAAGAAGCGAATGGGTAGGTAAGTTCAAGCAGGGCCAAAAAAACAAGATCAGAAGAAAGCTTTTCTGAACAAGACTGACTTGCAAGCCCTGTGGAAACTTGGAAGTTCCCGCAGGGCTCGAACCTAATCCACCAAGGTATTCCACCAGGATAGGGCCAAGCTGGAAAAGGCCCTTATCCTGGTGGTAGCCAAGTGGACCTTTTGAGAGGTCAGCACCACCAACAAGTTGAACAATGATGAGCTCAGCATATGAAGGAGATTATGTCAGATATGATGGTCCCAGACCATTTAGGGATTTGAAGGTGAGTACCAGTACCTTGAACTTGATCCAGAAATAGATAGGGAGCCATTGTTGCTGCTGCATCACAGGATGTGTGCATCCCAGGGTACACCAGCCAACAATCTGGTGGCTGCATTCTGAACTACCTGAAGCTTCCGGAGCAACTTCAGAGCGAATTACAGAAATCTAAGCGAGAGGTGACTGTGGCATGGATCTCTGCAGCAAGATTGGAACAAGACAGGTAGGGAACTAACTGGTGGGCTCACCGTAGATGGTAAAAAGTAGTCTGTGCAACGTTGGACACCTGTTTCCCAAATGAGAGCAAGGTATCTAACTATATCCCCAGACTCCTGCTGGAGTCCAGGAATGTAAGCAGAACCCCATCAAGAGCCAGGAGTTGTACATTGCCAATGGGTCCGTGTCGACCCAGCCACATGACCTTGGTCTTAGAAGGATTTAGCTTCAGCCAATTTCCCCTCAATCAGTCCACCACAGCATCTAGACACTGGGATAGTCCAGGGACAGCAGCCCATCACCGAGGAGGAGATAGAGATGAGTATCATCCACATACTGATGGCACCCCACCCCACAACCTCTGATGAGATCAACCAAAGGGTGCATGTAGATGGTGAATAACATTGGTGACAGGATTGCACCCTGAGGGACACCACAAATCAGCGGCATACTAGATTAACTCCTGCTGCTGACAACAACGAGGAAAACCACTGCAGTGCAGTACCCTTTATCCTCAGGGAGGTGAGGCAGTCAATCAGTATTGGGTGGTCAATCGTGTCAAATGTTGCTGAAAGATCTAGTCAGATCAGCAGACAGCAGTGCTCACTCACCATGGTCCAATTGCCATCAAAGGTCGTTAACCAGTGCCACAAGTGTGGGCTTTTTCCCATACCCAGATCAGCAGCCAGACTGGAATGGATCTACTGAGGAAGTTTCATCCAGAAATTCATGGAGTTGCTCAGCCACTGCCCTCTCAATTACCTTCCCCAGAAACAGCAAATTCGAGACTGGGTGGTAATTGACCAGCTCTGTCTTATCCAAAGAAGGCTGCTTCAAAATAGGTCAAACTAGGGCCTCCTTTAAAGAGCTGGGAAAGCTGCCCTGAGAGAGACAAATTCACAGTCTCTCTCAGGGAGCCTCCTACCACATCACAGCAAGATTTAACCAGCCAAGATGGGTAGGGATCTAAGGGGCAGGTCAATGGCCTGGCAGCCACCAGGATCCTGTCCACATCTGTCAGGGAGAGCAGGTGGAAGTGGTCCAAGAGAGGACCTGTATAAGCTATGGAAGCCTCTGGCATATCACCTGTATACAAACTGGCAGCAATCTCTTGGCAGAGTTTCGAGATTTTATTTGCAAAATATGTTGCAAGAGTGTCACAGCTAATAGGCAATTCTCTATCATTTTGGGATTCCACATTTGTTTGAGTCCGAACTTTGGTTTGTGATTTGTGCATTCACCAAGCCCTTTGGACTTGCCGTATTTTTCGTGGTGATGGTCATTTGCTGCTATCACCTGCGAAACAGGAAGCAGCAGCTCTGACTATATGGCAGGGGTTACCTGCCCCAATGGGAGATCTCTGACAGTATAATCCTATGCAGAATTGGTTCCAGTCTAAACCTATTGAAATCAATTACCTTCCCTGTTGAAACTGCAGAGTTCAGATGTTTGGTGGGTATTTGTGATTGCAAGCTTCAGGAAAAACCTAAGCCTGGGAAAGCTGCAAGCAGAAATATAATATGGCTGCCCTTCTTTTCATTTCTATGACTCGATTGCCCTTAGTGGGTGTTTGTTGCTTGTGATAATGCAGTTTTTTGTGTGCCTTCCTCCCCATTGTTTCATATCAACAATTTCCCTCCTGCTCAGCTAGTGGAGCACTTGGTCACTGTTCATTTCACTGGGTCTTATATGGGAAGCTGAAAAGGATGATCTCAAACCACATGGCTTGTTATTTGTGATGTGTTCCCTTGCTGCAGCTGATGTGTATTTGGGACTGTAGCACCATCGCCTACTGTGGGGGCTGGTCTTCTGATGAGTGCAAGAGGCTGTGATCTAGACCGGCCTCACTGTAGGACTTGGGGTCCATGTGTCTCTTATCCTTCATCCTCTGTGCATCCTGTATGCTGTGTCTGCAGTTGTATACATTTCCTGACATTTGAAGTCCATTTGCTTCCCAGCACCCTTCTCCAGGGTAGTGATTATGACTGTAAGAAGTATGCATATGCTGGGAAGTAGATGCATGGTTGTCATTTGCCATGTTGTAGGCATTTGTGTGTGTGCAGAGGAACTGAGTAGGTGTGCTTTTTGTTCTGCGTTGCTAGGCATTGGTTATAACATAGGTCTGCTATGTACATTGCAGTGAGCTGCACTGTAAAAGAATGAGAAGAGACTAGTGCTATAGATCAGTTGGCCAGGGGGAGACTTAATGGTGTAAAGCAGGCCAGGTAGAGATCCAGTGTGAGGTCCTATGGTGGTCAAGCTTGGGGCTGCACGAGGGGTTGCAGGGCTGCCAATTTGCTGTCAAATTGTGCTGATTTATGGTGACTCTGTAGGGTTTTCAAGGCAAGAGACGTTCAGAGATGGTTTGCCATTGTCTGCCTCTGCCTAACGACCCTGGTATTCCTTGGTGGTCTCCCATCCAAATACTAACCAGGGCTGATCCTGCTTAGCTTCCAAGATATGACAAGATTGTGTTAGTCTGGGCCATCCGAGTCAGGGCATACAAGCCATATCCAACCCAAACATCATGAAAAGTAAATCATGCGTCTTGCCGAGTTCTGTAACCCTCAGGACAACCGGGGTCTCTGGTACGTCATGTCCTAATTCCTCCCTCTGATCACCCCAGAAGGTTTGAAACTGCTCTCTCACATCAACACACAACACTTCAGACACCACACACACCACAAGTTTTAAAAAGCCTGCAAGTATGAGGATAAGACGATGGAATAAAAGTGGCACAAACCTAAACCAGAGTCTGCGTTTGGGTAATGTGGAGTCTGTCACTGCCTAGCTTTATTCCAGCTACACGTTTCTCATTTTCTACCCTTTATTTACCCAAAATGAATATATGTCATCCTAGACTACATTTTATCCTTGGATCCTGTGCAGCTAATTTTAGCAACAACTGTTTCAATTCCTTAGGCTGTGGATGAAAGGAAAAAAAATTAGGACAGAGGTATCAAGAGGCCCAGACATAGTAGTCTCAAAATAGCCAAGCTGTTAGAATAAGCTAAAAATATGTAACAGGAGAATAGAACTTGCAATATATGCCATGAAGCAAACTATCACCCCGAAGACCTAACCCTGACTCCTTTGTTCTCTTTCCTCAGATCATCTTTGCTGACGAGTGCACAGAGGCTGAGGGAAGGCACTGGCACATGAAGCACTTTTGCTGTTTTGAATGCGAAACAGTGCTAGGCGGCCAGCGGTACATCATGAAGGAAGGGCGGCCATATTGCTGCAACTGTTTTGAATCCTTGTACGCGGAGTACTGTGATACCTGCGCTCAGCACATAGGTGAGGGAGCAGATAAAAAAACCACCATGCTTTTTGCTGCCGAGGGAGCTCCTTGTGGCCTTTTGATGTGGATTTGAAACTCATTATGTTGTTTTTTATTTATTTCCGTTGGGGGGGGGAGAAAATGATGTGACATGTTGACACACCATTGCGTTCATGGTTTCAGATGAAGCATACCTCCAGGCTAACCGTGGAAATGGTTTTGTTTTGAAAGTACATGGCAGGCCTTGGCATCCGTTTCTGTCAGGCCTCCAGTAACCATTTGGCAGGTGCAGGAGTCTAGCTGGGCCCACATTTCTGTGGGCGGAAAAGGGAGGGAAAAATCTATCGTGCCAGTGCCAGCGCCAGCCAGTGATAGTATCCCCACCCACCCCTCATTTCTGTCAATTAAAAGAAATAATGATAGGCAGCTCCACCCCTGCAAATTAGGTGAAGTTAGAAAATCATATGAGTTAGGAAACAAGTAAGTTAGCTTTAAAAAACCCCAAACCTTCCATTTTCTTTGCTAAGGAAGGAGATTCCATATCTTGAGCCATACTTTTCAACATTTTCATTTATTTCATTTATAACCTGCCTTTCTCCCTGATGAGACCCGAAGCAGCTTACATCTTTTCCTTGCCGCCATTTTATCTTCGCAGCAACCCTGGAGATAGGCAAAGCTTAGAGTTGTGTGACTGGCTCAAGGTCACCCAGCAAGCCGCCATGAGCCCATGTGGAAGGGCGGGATATAAGTCTAATAATAAATAAATAAAGCTTCCATGTCAGAGTGGGGATTCAAACCCGGTTCTCCCAGATCCTAGTCTGACACTCTACCCAAACGTTAAAGCAACAGATCTGCTTCTTTAGAGACATCATGTCTGTCTGTGACTGTCGAAGCTGAATCAAGACTCAGCATCACATTAAAGCTGTCTCCCCCAAAATGTATATAAACACCTGTACTGCAAAGCCCCACAAGGTTCTGGTAACGTTAACAACAACCTCAGGTATAACCAGGGCTTTTTTTGTAGAAAAAGCCCAGCAGGAACTCATTAGCATAATAGGGCACACCAAACAGCAGAAACTCGTTAGCCTATTAGGCCACACCCCCTGACTGCACCACTCATTAGCATATTAGGCCGCACCCCCATGTTAGCAGAAATGTGCTCATCCAGCCACACCCACCTTTTGCTTCTTATTCTGTTTACCTTGTTTGTTGTCGAAACCCAGGGCCTTTTTTTGTAGCAGGAACTCCTTTGCATGTTAGGCCACACACCCCGAATGTAGCCAATCCTAATGAGTTCCTGCTGGGCGTGGCCAACTCGGGAGCCAGCCGGAACTCCGTTCCTGTGCGTTCCTGCCCAAAAATAGCCCTGCGTATAACTATATAGTTTCCTTCTGGGCATGTAAAGTAATTGGCATAACTTCTGTGCTTTTCAGTAAATTCACTGCCCCCCCCCAAAAAAAATTCTTCCCAAAAGACCAGTGCTAAATGCAAATTGGGTATGGAAGAAGAAAGTGAAGGCATACTTACAAACAGGGAACAAGATCTAGGCAAATTCAAGTTTTGATTTCAGTGCGAGAGATGTGATTAATTTTGTTACTGAAATAAATGGGGGTTTAAAAGGCACTCCTAAGAAGGTCTGTTAATTGGAATTTACTCCCAGGAAAGGGTTCTTAGGGTTGCACTTTAAAAGTGCATGATTCTATTTGGGTCACAGAGATGCACTGATCCAAATCCACACTACGGAATGCACGACTGTGTTTTCCTCCTTGAGCTTTGCTTTCACAGCATCAGTAGTGTCCCGCCACGGGCTCCTCCGTGGCCTCACAGGCCACTGTGGCGGGACTGGCTCAGCCAGCGCCGGGCTCCCCGTGAATACCGGGAGGTGGACGGGCCATGGGAAACAGTCCCGGAGACTCGAGTGTCCCCAAACCCCTCCCACAACAACAGCCGAAACGCAGAGAGAACTCAGAGGAGACGGGGCCGAAGGAGCGGTCCGGCACGGACGATGCTCCTCTACCTAAAGGGGGGGCGGGCCCGGTTGAAAGATAGAGGTAATTGGAGGGCCCCTGCCTTACCCCTCAGAAAGGAAGAGACAGCGAGCCGCAGTCACGGTGTACGAGATGGAAGTGGGCACTCCCCTGCATGCATAACTCCAAGCTAGAGGCACGGGGATTTAAAGAGAGGTGGGACAAAAAGGGGAAACACTAAGAGATTGGAGAATGCGGTGATGGGCGGCTGGAAGAGGCTATGGGCTCAGAAAGAGCTTGAGGGGTGTGTCCATAAGGGAGGGGAGGGGAGATAAAAGGAAGGAAACGGAAAAGTGCCGGGGAGGAGTTCAGAGATAATCGCACAGCCAAGGCAGAGAAAGGGTGGAAAAGCGATTGCTCTGAGAAAGGTGTCTGGAGTGTGACGCAACACCCAGCCCTTTCACATCTGAGGCGCTTGTTTCCTTCTGCGATCTCTCTTCAAAAATGACAACAGGATTTTCAGGGCTCAGGGACAACCCTGAGCAGGACAAGTAGCATGTAGGGTGTTGAAGGATGTTGAATAAATGGTGGGGAGGGAAGAAGAGCAGCCCCTCCTAGCCACAGCCTGGCCATTGTAATTTGCTGTTTCAGACCAGATTTCTAGATATTTTGTTCATTTCCCACCATGCCAACCCCCATAGTTCTAGACTCAAACAGACAAATTGCTTGTTCATTCCTTCTGTTTTCAGAGATGAACACTGAAATAGTTAACATTTTGATACCAAAATTAGCATCTCTAATTAGCGTTTCAGTCAAATGGAGCAGTTAGCAAGCAGGCTGACAAATAGACATTTATGCATAGGTAATAGTTTGGGTGCTCTGATTTCTTGTAAAAAGTACCCAGACTGTTCTTGTTTTCCAGTGGATTGCAGCTGGGGAATATTTAGGGACCAGTCCTAAGGTTGCAACAAACACCAAGACACAACTCGCTGCCTTGTTTAAACAGATTTATCCATGTCACGGGGAGTTCTGTGAATGGAACCGCCAGCATTTTTTCCCTTTAGAAGTCACAGGTCGGGGGACCCAATTCCAACTAGGACTTTCACAAACAAAGGTATAGTTCCATTAACCTGAACCTGATCTGAACTGAACTTGGGAAGCCACCACTACAGACATACAGATACAACGACTCTCTGAGCTAGAACTGCCAACTTCCAGATGGTGCCTGAAGATTTCCCAACATTACAATTGATCTCCAGATGCAGAGATCAGTTCCTCTGGAGGAAATGGCTGCTTTGTAAGGTGGAGTGTATGGCTTTACACCCTGCTGAGGTCCCTCCCCACCCCTCCCCAAATCCCAAACTCCCCAAACTCCACCCCCAAATCTCTAAGAATTCCCTACCTGGAGCTGGCAATTCTACAGTACAGCCTTGTAAGGGAAGTGCCCCCCATCTTCATCTTTAAAGATGTGTTAATAACGAAACAGTGAAAGACGTGTCTTCTACCATCTCACCAAAGATGCTAGTGAAAGTTGCCTCCTTCAGTACAACACTGGAAGAAACCATGGTGGGGCACCTCTTAGATTTCAGGGTAAGGAGATGGGGGAGATAGGGTTGCCAGCCATCCTCTGGGTGGTGCCTGGAGTTCTTTTGGAATTATAACTGATGTCTGGGCTACAGGAATCAGTTCCCCTGGAGAAAATAGTTGCTTTGGAGGGTGGGCTCTATAACATCACATCCCCACTGAGCACCCTTTCCTCCCAAAACGACTCCTCCTTCAGGCCACGCCAAATCTCCAGGA